AAATATTATCATGTTTTTAGGGCATGAATCTGAATTGAACAACCTGATAATGCTCACTCTGGTTATTGTTTCCGTTTTTAAAAGCGCTATATGTTGAGCCAGTTTAAATTAAATATTATCATGTTTTTAGGGCATGAATCTGAATTGAACAACCTGATAATGCTCACTCTGGTTATTGTTTCCGTTTTTAAAAGCGCTATATGTTGAGCCACCTCATCTTGATTTGCCATGTGACATTTTCAGCAGCAATCATTGGTCGATTTTCTAACGTTGCCATTCGGGAAGTTGTAATGAGGCTTTTTTTTGGTGCCGTGTAAGAGAAATATATATATAGATTTGCTTATATTTTAATGGGAAAACTGAGGGCGAGCAGCCTGAATAAGAAGTTGGCGGGCCGCACAATATGTGCTGGCGGGCCAGATGCGGGCCGCCAGTTGGACAGCCCTGCCTTAGGGGAAGATATTAATTACATTTAGCGTTGAACTGATTTTTCCGATTGCAATGAGGAAAGTATAAAATCGGATTTTAATTATTGTTAACATGTTTTGTTTCATAATTGTTTATATATATTTTTTCAATTTATTTATCATATTTTAGGCTCATGTTGGGCTTTATGATGACAACTGCGTTTTTATCCATGTGGATCAGCAACACGGCGACAACTGCAATGATGATCCCGATTGTTGAAGCAGTACACAAAAAGATCTCCATACCCATCAGCAATGACATTGCTTTAGAGGAAAATACAGAAGCATGTAAGTACATGCAACAATAAAGGTAATTCATATGCGCATCCGTCTTTAACAACATCCGATTGACTGACTGACCTTTCACCTTGATATTTTTCGATGCATTTTACTTAAAACCATCTTCAAGATTTTAAACTGTTGGTATTTAATATAAAAGAAAAAAATCTGTTTGACAAAATTTTCAATGGGTTTCAGAGCATTATCATTGGACAAGAAAATCAAGTAACTTTCCATTAATGTTTAGATATCATATAAACTATGGAATTATTGAATTTGTATAACCTTAAATAATCTTTACATTCCTTTTTATAACCATTGGTATAGAACAGGCGCCTCCAAACTTTTAGTTTTTTAAGGGCCAGATTGATTTCACCCTTAAGTTTCAAGGGCCATGACCAAGGCAAAAAATCTGTCTTTTGGGAGAGAACAATTGCTATTCCCTCCAAATTAAGAAAACAAATTAAGAAAAGACTTCTCATTTTTCTTCCTTTTTTCGTATGGACATTTTGAGCGTTTTCTCAAGTAGTCAGGTCTTCTTTTATCCCCTAAGCGTTAGTCTGATTTCCAAGTTCACGCCTAAGCCAATTCCCTATCAAAACCTTTTGACTATTTTGATTCATGTGCCTTGAAGACTTAGTCCTCACACAATTCTTTATAGTTTTAAATTGCACACAAACTTTTGTTTCTGAATTGGCCAGCGAGTGGCGTAGCGAGTGACAGTTCATTGTTGAATGTAAGTTTATAATGAAATATTTCATGGTATTGTTTACAATTAAATTGTTCAATTCTAGGCTGTAAAAATATTATATTTTTTAATTATTATTTTGTAAGACACATTAATATAGATTGTTTTGTAATATTGTTAATTTTAAAACGTTTTCAAAAACATACCGCATGGGATTCGGGGTGCTGGTTTTAGCTCAAGAGTTGCAAGTTTGAAGACACCTTGTATAGAAAATGGGGAAAAATATACTTGAGGGTGCTCCTTAGCGAAATTGGCGACTTATATTTGGCGCCTTTCCTGTTTCCGAACAAGAATGGCGGCCAAAACATAATGATATTTTAGTAAAACATTAGAAAATTTCAGCGATACATCGGCCAAAACTTGCAATGAACCCAATCTAAGCAAATTAATAAACCCAATAAAAATCATTTTGAATCGAAGCAAAAATTAATGATGATCCCGATTGTTGAAGCAGTACACAAAAAGATCTCCATACCCATCAGCAATGACATTGTTTTAGAGGAAAATACAGAAGCATGTAAGTACATGCAACAAAGGGATAAACAACAAAGGGAATAAACATACAAAGGGCATACAAAGGGAATAAACAACTCACTTCTAAGTTTGACTATTCTCAGATTTAGGTGCTCCGAATTCTCTAATAACAGTTAGATAATGTCTAAATTTATCATGAATAGAATCTGTGTACCTTCATCACCACATAAATTCGGCGAAATACTAATCGAAAATGGCGTCTGTGGTACCGGACTGGCGATGACATTTTTTTCCCTTTTTATGACTGCCCACATACCTTCGATCTTATTGACCAGAAGTAAAAGTAACCTTATCAGCCGATATCCAACGTCGAACTAACGGACCTCTAAAATTACATATACAGTTGAACATTTAAAAACAACGCTAAAATCTAAGCCAATCAGAATCACGATTGGGTTTCAACATAGCCCAGCTTGGTGATCAACCACGATCACAACTTGGCCAGAATCAAGGGGCACCCTCAAATATTTTCTACCCAGAAAATGAATGAAAATAGATATAATACTTCTATTTCTTTAATTTTCAAATTTATCAAGCAGGAAATTCGACTTCCTTTTAAGGAAATTGAGGATTAAAAATTATATCATAAAGCTAATTATGCAAGTTTAGCATAATAAATTCTTTTTTTAGCGCTTTTTGAAACAACAGAACTATATGTCTTGTAATGTAAAAAAATATAGAGGTATAACTTTCAAAATAAATTTGACTATATACCTTTCAGTTACAATAAGCTTGCTCTTTTTATTATCGTTATTATTATCATTATTATTTTGGTGGTGCATTACTATTTTGGTGGTATGGTTTTCCACACATAAAAATCTAAGTGTTTTTTACCTTATCCAATTTTTTAAATTCCTCTGTATCAAATAGGCTAAATCGTTGTAATCGCATAGGCATCCAATACTGTATGCACCTCTCTATTTAGTTACTGAATAATATTGAAAGTTAAACAAAAAATAAGTATCTTTATGAAATTCCAATCACTACGTGCTTTGATTTAAAATAATGAATGGAGCTTTAGTTCCAAGTTTAGTTCAGTTTCCTAAGTAGTAAGTTGAGTTTAGTAACTAAGTAGTTAATGAGAAAATTATATTCAGTAGAAATTTTAATACGCGAATTTTGAAGGTGAATCCAGCACTTTTCGCTTACGCACAGAATGAAAATACATAAGTATTCAATACTAATTAGATTTTAAATTAAAAAACTTAAATTTATTTGCTTTTTAAATCTATTTTTCTATTCAAATTTTAAAAATGAATGAGAACAGGATTTATTTTTTTTTTGACTAAAATTAGTTACTTTTTCAAATAAAAAAATAATGAAAACCAATATTTTACTTTTGATCAAAATTGCTTTATAGCTTCTACACTTTGAAACACATAAATTGGGTACTTGCAACTCGAGAAGAGGTGAAGTGATTGCGCCTAACCATGTGATTTTAAATAAATCAAATTTAATTGAATACCTGTAAGCGACGTTACGCGCGTGTGTCTAACCTGATTGGCTTCTGAATCGATAAATGCCATGATTTACTTACGATGAATAATGAGTTAAGTTATTAGCACTTGCAAGTATCTAATTAAAAAGTAACCTTTGCAACAATATTAGTTTACAAATGTAAATATTTTTTTATTTCTATTTCAGATGTTTCAGAGGTATCAACTGAAAACAAAGAAGTGGAAAACGCGTCAAATGAGGAGATTCCAAATAATGAGTTAAGTATTAAATTTATTTTATAAACAGTTTAGCTGTTATACCTTGCATTGATTTTCATAGAAGAGGAAAGATATGATCTCATCTGCATCACCTGCTAAATAATTCTGAAGAAGAAGTGCACTACTTTCTTATTTTATCAATTAATCTATGACCTAAAAAGACATTTTAAAACGCGACAAAATTATTATTATTTCAATTCTTTTTGGACTTTTTTAAAAATATTTTTGTTTCATTAGTCACCCATTATGCTGGTTTAAGTTTCAAGTATTATGAAAAATTATTATTATCACTAATCATCTGGGTTTAAATGAGGAATATGAACAAATAATAGACATAAAATTTTGCATGAAAGTCATGAAGGATTTATAAACAAAATAATTGTCGAGTTCACATATAGACTTTCATTTATGAACTTTGAAAAATATTATCATCAATTATTTAATAGAAAAAGAAAGATTTGATAGTTAATCAAGCTTCCGTAGAAATGTCGTTATTGTCGTAAAAGGGAATTAATTCATGCCTTACATACAACAATCTTTTCAATATTTATTTCTTCTATAATAAACTCAATTTTTCTTTTAGAGTTTTCTCTATTTCCTTTTACCAAACAGCTCTTCAAATGTTTTTCTGGAATACCAAAAATCCAAAATCGCTAAAATACGTGGAATCGCTAAATTCATAGATTCAGAATCGTTAAATTACAGTGTTTGCAACCTGATCTTCTAGAAAAGTCATATTTCTGCTGATGCGAGTGGTGTCAGTTATCCAAATATGTAAACAGAATAAGTAACAAAGAGCTCTAGACATTAAACTCATAAATCAATAACAAACATGTTCATAATATGTCTAGCATCTAATGTGACACTTTTCCAGACAACATTTTCCTTAAGCAGACATTGCAAAACTTTATAGATTTTCCAGAAATGATGCAGATTTGTAATAAATGATAGATTTATAAAAGGATTCAACCAAATGAAAAATCTAGTGATAGTAATATGTAGTTCTGAAAAATAATAAAATTTTAAAGAATTTTTTAGTATTAGTCGATTTAATACTGTCTTCGACAGAAGTCGATGTCCTTAAATTTGTTTTTAAACATAATCGGAACTAGCGTTTGAACTTTATAATTACAGTAAAATGCAGTATTGTGTTGCTTTCGAAAAATTCAATTTGTTATGCATACATTATAGCTATAATCATACTACGAGCATTGATTAACAGTCATTCAGAGTTCTCTAAAATTAAATATCAAAATTAATACAAAAAATATTAAATATTATTTATTTGTTGAAATTGAACATAATTATTTAAATAATGTCTATATTTCCTTTAAATAATAAAATATTTGTAATGCAAAAATAGATTTATTATGATTATAGGAATCTTCAACAAAGAAATTCTTCAATTAAAACTGTATTGCTGTTGTGCGTTTGTTACTCTGCAAATATTGGTGGAACAGGAAGTCTAACAGGAACGGGAACCAATTTAGTTATCAAAGTGTTAGTCGATGAGTAAGTGAATGTAATCTATACTGAAAGAAAACACAAATAATTAAGATCAAAAGGAAAAAACTTCTTTGAAAAAAACGCGCTAAAAAGCAGCAGAAATTTCAGAAAAAAGTATCAATACAAAACAAANTTAATGAGTAATTCCTCTACGAATTACTGCCCATTAACTTCAGAGAATAATCTTCTATCTGCCCGTATCTGGTTTATGTTGACTTTTTATGACTCTTTGTTAGAGACCGATTTCTATATCTTAAACTAGATAAGAAACATCTGTTTTAAGTTCATCACTTAATATAGAAAGAAACATGGGAGGAATTCTATATACATATATATATANAAACTCGGAAAACATTAAAAAAAAAACATGCAAAATTGGGATCTGTTTATCCATTAGGGAATAAAGTTTAATCTTTGGGATGTATATGTCCAATTAAGGTCAAAAGGGTTAATAACAGATTTTTCCGACCCCTAATTGAATTATATCAATTGTTAGGCTTAAAATTAATTCCATTGCATAATATTTATAAATTATTTTCACAAAACAGTATCTTCTGCAATATTTGTTTACTTTCAATCTCTGGTTTTCCTGACGGAACTACTGACTGGCCATCAGGAGATGTGTTCTCAGGTTGTTTCCAGCGAGGACAGGACACATCTCACGATAGCCAGAAAGTATATACATATATATATATACAGTTTTCTGACGCGGCACTATAAGCTCGAAAATTTCTCTATTGAAGTTGAACACTGATGGTCGTAAATTTAGAATTGGGTTTACTCTACAACGCGATTTATCGAACAAAAATATGCTTATCATTGTTTATATAAGCAAATAAAACCATTTGTTGTCGCTAAAATGAATGTCGAGGCTGACTCGAAGAATTAATGACTTGGTTTAATTTCACATAAGGAACTTATTTACAATTTCGTATCTTGTTATATAATTTGATCATTTTTGAGAAGTTAGAGTATGCGAAAAAGGGATAATTAATTATTATTTACTAATTTACTTTTAGTCATTAATTAATTAAGTAACAAGTAAGTTAAGTAACAAACTAAGTATTAATTAAGTAACTATGAATTATCATTTGCTAATTAATTACTATTAATTAACCACGTAACTATTAATCATTAATTAATTTATTATTATTTAGTTAATGATTTTTAATAATTAAAAATTTTTTAAGACTAAAAATATGTACCATGCATACTAAAAAAAAAGAGCGAAAATGAAATTGAAATACATTAAAAAAATAAGATATCTTATAGTGTGTCTTTGCTTTACATGTTATATTTCAAAAACTATGCTTTGTTATAATATTGTTTTGAAAATGTTTAAATGATGCAACTTTTTAATCCTTTTTCCTTTTACTTAGCTTGTATCCGGAAAGTGATGAAATAACATTCGGTTCTTGGATAGTTTATAGTTTACCTGGAGTAATCATTTGTGTTTCAATAGGTTGGTTTTATCTGTGGCTGATTTATTTTAAATGTTCGTAAGTTCTTTATTTTTATAAAATAATTTTCTAAATTTTCGCCGTCAACTACTGTAATAAAATTATAGCTTAATAAACATTTCATTTATTTTTCCACTGATTCTCTCATTCACTAATTTTATAATTTACTAATTAACCCACTTGCTGATTTTCCAATTGGCTACTTCATTTTATTTGCTTATGAATAGATTTCCTTATTTGCCCATTAGCTGTTTCATTAACTCACTTATTATTAACTTTTTGTTAAATTTCTTCCATTTTTTCTTCGTTTACTTATTCGTATGTTATCTTAAGAAACATAGAAAATAAAGATAGCTATAGCAATTTTATTTCAAAAATAAAAAAATTGTATTATGTATAAGCTTAAAACAAATTAATCAGATGAATGTAATTAATATGAACAAAATTGATATAAAGGAGCAAATTACGAACTAGCATTTAAGAAAGGTATTACAGCAGCACTTTTCGCGCAATTTGTTTTTGCTCTAATCACTGTACATTTCTCTAATTAAGTTAAAATAAGAAACGTTTAGAGAATTTAAAAAATGTTTGAAGGCTTAGAGAAAATATTATAGGGAGTAAACACTTTAAAATTTAATAGCTTTGTTATATTTTTATTTAATTTATTTTGTGATTTAATTTTCCCTGTCATGATTAGAAAAATTGTCTGTGAGTAGAATCTGTCTATGAGTAGAAAAATTGAGATCTATATTTATTGTTTAATTAAAAGCATTTAGAAAGAAACTGCAAGTAATAAAATAAATCGTTATTCCTCTGTTAATTCAAATGAATTCATAGTGCATGTCAAGCGTATAAGTATGTATGATATTCAACATTGAAATAAATTCAAGAGCGAGAAAGATAAAAACAGGCGTTAAAATACATCAATCAAATCATGATTTACGGTGAGTTTATCAACAAGCAAAAATACATTTTGCCTTCAATCTATATGTTAAAAAATATCTGACCATTTTATAAAATAAAATTTAAAAAAAGTGACCAAATGATTCGAATAAATTGAATAAATTCATTAAAAAATAATTAAGTAAAATTATACATTTATTGAGCTACTAGTTAAACTAAATATCTTAGTGGGGTACTGTATTTATTAGGGGAAAAAAGATTTGCCCTTTTCCACGTTTTTTTTCAATTTGTTATTTTTTTACATGTTGCAGCATTAGCGTAAACCTCTCTGTGGCTTAAATATTAAAAAAGACCTACGATAACAATTTAAGGGGAAAAAAGCAAATACCAAAATATACTTAAATAATAGTTGCCAAAAATGTCAAGATTATCTTTCCCCAAAAATGACTGGATTTAAAAATTATAGAAAAAAACGTACATGTAATATGTGTATAATGATTTAAGCGTTTGAACTAGGCTAGTTTTATAACCATTGAACACATTAAGAACATAGAAAACAGTCAAAACTCAGAATTCAATTAATTGTAAATAAAGAGATTTAGCTACAGAATAACTTCGAAGCGCTTTGTTTACTTCATTGATTGAAATTTTATCTTTGTCCAAAGATTTTTTTTAATTTAAAATTCATTTTTTCCCTCATTTGATAATTCTTTTAGGAAATCTTATCACAGAATAGCTTCCAAGCAAACAATACAAGATGTCATATCCAAAAAATATAAGGAGCTTGGATCTATTCGGTAAGTAGAACGAGAATGTTATTTTAAAAATAAAACAAAAAATTAACATTGAAATATTAAACAAATAATGAACCGAAACATGGATATAGATCTATTAAAGCAATGGTTATTAAACAAATATATACAGATAATTAAGTGTAAGTTGAAAAAATAGATGACTACTTATTCAATAAATTAATAATTCGCATAATACATTATAAAATATTATTTACTCATATCTCAATAAAAAAAATTAAATCAATTAAAAAATAATTAATAAATAAATGAATACTGAACCAACAAAATAATAATGTATCAATAATCAAATGATACAACAAATGAACTTTGATCAATAAATCAATAAATAAAGAATGAATCAATAAATGAGTAGAGAATTAAAAATACAATGGACAATGAATTAATAAATATATAAGGAATCTGCAAATTAATGTTAAAGAAAGAAAGAATAATGAATTAATAAACGAACGAGTCAGAAAATCAACGAAAACTAACGAATTTTGAATGAATAAATAAATAGTGGATAAATAAATAATAAAACATTAAATTTATTTTGTGTTACATAAATTTTTTAATCTGAAATATTTCTGATGTAGAAAAACTGTTATTTTTTAATCTTCTAATTTATTTTTAATTGAAACTAAATAATTTAAATTTTAATCTCCATTCCATATAGGCCATAAGAAGTTAGCCTGCATGTTAACTTGCAGGATTGTATCTGTCATGCAAGTTCCGTTTTCATTTGTAAAGATAGAAATTCTTTTTTTTTCTTCTTAAATTAGAAAAATAAAACATATTTAAGCGATATCATACTGAGTTTATTGTATAAAATGTCGCAATTTTTCATGGGTAAATGTTTATATTGTAACCAAGAAAAAGTAATTTACAGGGTGCTTTATTTAAATCTACAAAAGTTTATCAATTGCCTGCTAATGAATAACAAAACAAAGAAAATTCAAAATTTATGAATTGAACATGGAATTAAATTAATTAATGGTGGTAACAGTAAGGTTGTCTTAAGGTCTGGTTTCTTAGGACAAGCGCCTTATCTGGCCTAAGGCTCCTATACTATCAGAGCTGACCTATAAAGCAATATTGGAGCAAAAAAGTTTGCAAGTTAACGTTATGTTAGTATTGTGCTTATGTTAGTTCTTTGGAGCAAAAATAGATGATGAGTCGGCCTGTCTAATTCAGGGGCTCTACGGCACTAATGGTGTCAGCGGGACGTTCTTAGAGCTAGAGCCTTATCTGGGCGTCAGCGGAAAGTTGACGTAGAGCGGACGCCAAAAAAATACTTTTTTGTTAGCTCAGCGTGAGCAGTCGGTCCAACGCAGACATTATCTCTCATTGCGCATGCGTTAATAACGTAAACAAATATTTATTTTGAATTTGTATTGATTTTGTTATTGTCGACCAGTGTTTTAGAGAACAAATAATGACTTTGTCCAAGAAAAAACACATTATAGCTGAGCTAAATGAAGAGTGCTATGTTTAATGAAGAAGCTATGTTTAATGTCAAAATCAAAATCTTGGCTGATTTCAATGTGCTGTTGGATGTTGTCCGCCATTGCTTCTGTGGTTAACGTCACGCTGTAATCCAACTGCAGTTGAGTTGGACGGCAGTTGTAGTTCAAGATGAGCGTTCGATGACGTATACTATCAAACTCAAAAATGGACCAATCAGAGGTTAGCGCTGATTTCCAGCTGACGGCGTCCCGTCCTAAGAAACCAGGCCTTTAGCTAGCACAATTTTGAAATGTTTGGTCTGATTTTTGAAAACAAAAGATCGGTGCAAGGTTCAGCATTTATACAGCTGCTGCAATTAGTATTGGTGGCAACACACATTTTTAAAAGATTCATGACAGTATTCCCTTACAATAAGTATCCAAAAAGAGCATAGTTTTCCTAAAAAGGGTAAGAAGTGCTAGTGTCAAAACAAAATCGACAAGTCCGTAATTGTAAATCATCTATTGCCGTACGTCGTTGGAGTCTTGGATACAAATTTAAGTTTGATAATACCGACATTTTTCCCACTCTAAAATTTGCCATCCCTGAGGCTCTGGAGTCAGGTCAAAAATAAGTTGCAAAAATAAAAATAAATGAGAAAAACATTAAAAACAATCATCTCAAAATAAAAAAACCCAACTTCACATCGGTTTCCTTGAAATCAATGATTTTCATTCAAAACCACAAAAACGAAAGTACTGTATAAACGATGAATAAAAGTTTTATTTTCATAAAATTACATTTTATTAGCTCCAGTTGATAAGTTTATTCAAAAATGAAACTCTTTTGAGAAAAATTAATTTTAAATTATATTTTTGCATTTTGTTTTCAAAAAACTCTTCCCCTTCTGCTTTAAATCTTAATTCTTCTAAAAAAAAGAAGTAATTAACCATTTAAGGAAAGTTAAGCAATCTAATATTTTGTTCCATACTAAAAAGCATCTTATTAAAGATCAGTTCAAAGCTGAGAATATGTTAAATATTAAATTATTTTGCTTGATTAAGGTCTATTTTGAAGCATGTTTTGTTAATTATTTCTAGGTTCCATGAGGCCGAAGTTATAGTGTTGTTCTTGTTGTTGGTACTGCTGTGGGTGTTTAGAGACCCTAAATTTGTATCAGGTTGGCAAAATCTGATTAGTTTTGATAAGTATGCTCCTTTAATTATTATTTTTTACTTAAGGACCTAATATTTGTTTCTCTCGGTGAATGTTTATGACTTTGAACCGTATGCATCAATTAAAAAAACGGATACTTATATTTTGATATACAAAATACAAATTACATTATTTAATGATTCGGTTAAGTAATAGCAACCTGGTGTTCTTTTCCCCACACTTCTGTGAAAAAAAGTATTGCTGTGTATTGGTTCTAATGACGTAAGGAGACCTATAAAAACAATGTTGTCGCCAAACCACAAATACACAGTATTGGAGATGCAGAATTGGAAATGGTAACAATCAGTATATTCAGCTGCCGGTTGCTCGCAAATATAATCTATTTGTTAAACCATCTTGAGACACTCTACGAATTTATCTTATAGTTAACATTTGCAATGAAATTTTCTTGATTAGCATACAACACCGTTAAACGAAATATCATAAGAAATGGGGAGCTTGTCGGATTCGTTCGCAATTTTATTTTTGGTGTTCTTTATGTAGCACCAGGGTAACTATTAAAAATGAGAGCGATATCTTGACAGTGATGTTTATACAAATAATGTACACGATTGTCAGCTATTTCACCAAAAGAGGCAAGTTGTTGTCAGACAACTATGTGTAGCAAATGTACCATCAACCACGACGTAGTGAGGCCCTCCAGATTCAGCATGTCCCAAATAAAAAGAAATCCAGCAAAAGAATGTGGACAAATAGAAAAGGAATGCTCATTTGAACACAAATTAAGAGAAATATTGAAAATGACTCCCATTAATGATTATCAAAGATTTTAATCAACATTTGCGAGGAAACGTTTATTGGTCTATTTTACCATTTTTCATCGTTTTAATCGACGATGAGTGTCAGGAATCTACGTATACAACTTTTTTCAAAATATCTCCATGCTAAATAATCTGATGGTGACAAGACGGAACTTCGGGAAGCCCTTTGGTGGTCCCGAAAAAACTCTTTAGGAAAAATATGGTTGACGCATATGTATGGCCAGTTGTTCCAAACTGTTCTAACGATGCCGTTTGAAAGCAAACTCAGAAGTTTAAGCGGCATTAATCCAATAAAAGATTATTGAAGATATTCTTTCCTTTTCTTTTTGTTATAAATAAACGATTTCGTATAGAATACAAATGTTTTGAAGATAAACTTTCTGATTTAATGCAAAATATTTTACAATGCTACCCGGACAATATTTTCGTCACTTTTTCATCAAAGTAAAAACTCATATAAATTATGCATTTAGATATTGAGAATTTGACTAGTACATTTTAAGGAAAACTATAAAACCGCATTCAGTAGGAATGTTCCCAAAATTCATAAAAATCATGAATTTTTCTTTAAGATTTTAACTTCTCATGGTAGTTTAAATTTATGAAAGAAATATCTAAAATATTGTTTGAAGAATTATTATTAAGTCGGGAATAGCAACCGTTAACTGTTAACGATAAGCCTCAAAAGTTCAAGGTATTTGATTTTGGCTTCAAAAACTCCGGGTCGCGGAATCTAAATATCTCTAAGTATTTTCTTCTACTAAAGTAATCTAATAACCCTTTAATCTTACTTTTAAAAAGCCGATAGTTTTTAGTGTAACGCCGAATAAAATGTTAGTAAAAATTATCATTGGGATTGTTTCACCAAATCGCCATCAAATGGACGTTATTTAAACTAAAAGTAGGTTTTTTTTTCTTCAGGAAAATTGGAGATTCGGTACCTGCTATAGCTATTGCTTTTCTCCTGTTCTTTTTACCTTCCGATATCAGAAATTTAGATAGTCCTCGCATACTGGATTGGAGAAGAGCGCAATCAAAATTACCATGGGGTGTTATAATACTATGTGGAGGAGGATTTGCTTTAGCTGATGCTGCTCAGGTAATAGATTATCATGAATAAACAATCTCTATTGTACAAAATACACTTTTCTATATTAATTTTACAGTTTTTATATGCTCTTAATAATGTTATTACGATGTTATCTTGAAAATCGGATGCTTTTCTTGTAGTGCTTGAGACATTTTTCGAGAGTTCTCTTCGATACATTTCAAGTTAATGACAAATGATATCTGTCTGAGATTTGAGCATGGCAATTTTCGTGATTTTATAATTTCTGTATGATTTTATCGCTGTGATTAAGACTTTATCACAAAAATTGGATGATATTCTAGTAGTGCTTGAGACACATTTGGAGAGGTTTCTTCGATGTATTTCAAATTAATGGCTAATGATATCTTTTCCAGATTTATTTGAGAACGACTAACAATGTTAGTGATGTTATTATTATTATATGATTTCACTGTTATTTTGATGTAATATTGAAAATCGAACACCATTCTTGTTGTTCAAGAGACACATTGTTTTAATTTGTTTCTTATTTTATGCACATTTTAATACTTCCTTAGAGATCAGGATTATCAAAACTTGTCAGCACTCAACTATCTCCCCTTCAAGTACTACCTCCAATCGCCATTGTCACAGTAGTTTGTCTCATGTCCACAATGCTTACAGAAATTTTAATGAACACTACAACAGCCACAATCCTAATGCCTGTTTTCAACCAAATGGTAAGAAAGTTTTTTTTAAAAAAAAAACTTATTCTTGATAAGGGGAATCAGAGTTTTCTTTTTAGATTTCCATTTTAACTCAACTAAAAGTTTTCCTCCTTACAGTTTTTACCGTTTGATAAAGTGCTAGACGTAACACTTTTGTAGAAAGTTGGATAATACTATTACTTTTTGATAGATTGTTAGATGTTATGGTAATTTATTCACTAAATTCTAGCAGCTACGCTTATGTAAAAGAAAAATAAATATTACCGTTACTATTTCAAAGAAAGTTAAACATTATAGTATAGTTTAGTGAAAAGTTAGATACTGTTATAAATGCTTGGTATAAAGTTAGATACTATGGTAGGGCTGTGGTGCGCAAGAGCAATAACATAACAAGCATTTATATTTTAGTTTTATGAAAAATAAAAACAACGTTGCTAAGACAACTCAATAATAATAATTACTATATTGACGTTCCAGACATTGGGATGTAAAAGTATTAATGGATTTATATATTTTATATTAACTTGTAAATAACTGTGTATATTAAATGTTGTGATGTCTCCAATTTACTTCGTTTTTATTTATCCAAAATCGCACATAGTAGGAAGATAGAAAACCTTCCCTTACAGGGCTCTTATTTGATGAAAAGTTAGATACTATGGCTTGGTTAATATTTGATGAAATGTTAGGTACTATTGTAAATCCTTGGTTGAAAGTTAGATACTATTTTCTAGCTAATATTTGATGAAAAGTTAAATACTATTTGTAAATACTGGGATGAAAGTTAGATACCATGGTTAAGTTAATATTTCATGGTAAGTTAGATACTAATGTTAACTTGGGAGGTTAAACCCATTGTTTGATACCACCCACCAACCCATATGATAGCTCCGCAATAATTGTTCTTGGCATAAAAATGTCTTTTCTAATAATTAATAAAATTACTCGTTTTAAATATATTTTCTAAATAATTTTAGCAAAATTACTTATTTAAAATATATGTACTAAAAAAAATTTGTTTGCTTAGACTTGTGCCTCCACTTAACATTTGTCCAAGCATTTCCCTTATGATCTTATTAAGATAAATTAGTGAACTTAAATACTTTCGCTGAGTAATCATTTTTTAAATTAATATTTAAATGCAAAGGTATATCAATATAAAAATATTTAGTGATATCACAATCATAATTTTGCTTACCAAAAAGCTGAAATAATGAATACAATTTTTTCATGAAGCCGACAATGTTCTTAATCATTTAACGAATAGTATATTAATGCAATTTGAACCAAGAATTAATAATCGTGAAACGCCCAATGAGTTTAGACAACGATATAAATAGGGTTTATTATAAAATGTAATGTAATAAAGTATCATGGAATTATGTCATAACAAAGAAACAACTCAATCAATTTAAAAAACAATCAAAATCAAAAACGTAATAATAGCAAAGTAAAAAGAAGAAAATGTTACAGGTTAAAATAGGGGCGCAAAAAAATTATAAGAGAACCATACGTTTATGATTATAATTAATTTATGCAGATGACAACCAAAAAAATGTGGAAACTAATTTGGAAAAACTGGATCCAATTAAAATATACCGCCAACAATTGGCAACTTGAAACTCAAGATAAAGTGAAGTGAATGTGTTTAAGCATGCAATTTACCTGCAAATGACGCCACACGTGTGTGTCGAAACTGATTGGCTTCTAAATCAGCAAAATGCCACACGTCGCTTGCAGGTAACCAACTGGAAACTATGTAATAACAATATGTTTTTATGTTATATGGAGATACTATGGAAAGTTAGATACAGGGTGAGCCAGTCAAACCTGCATTTTTGAAAAGGGCGGGAGAGCCGTGAAAGTGGGCTTGAGCGAGTTACACAGGTTACCATTGTGTCCCCCACAACTAAGCATTTCAGTCGTCATGGAGCAGTGGTCTAAACAACAACGTTCGTTCGCTGTGAAAGCGTTTTACCAAAGTGATAAATGTGCAACCGCTCAGCGTTGTTTCCGGACTAATTTTCAGATTAATCGAAATAGGCCAGTGCCGTCAGTTAATTCAATCAATTGTGGGGGGAAAACTTTGAAGCAATTGGTGATCGAGAAAACTCTCTCAGCGTATGCTCCGTGATGTGATGGGCAGTTTCAGAAATCGCCTACAAGAATGTCTCGATTGGGAAGAACACCATCTTACTAGCTTTATTTTTAAACAGTGAATGTTGCTTCTTAAATACTTTTTAATGCAGATTAAGATAGTAACAATAAAATTTTGAAATATCCATTCGTTTATTTTTTACAGTCATTTCTGCAGG